TTGAGTCGGAGTCTCCCTTTGTCACCCAGACTGGAGTGCAGTGGCATGCTCACAGCCACCCCAGTGATGACCTGCTGGGCTCCAGCGACCCTTCTGCCTTAGCCTTCCAAGTAGCTGGAACTACAGGCACGTGCTACCGTGCCCAGCTAATTTTTTTATTTATTGTAGAGACGAGGTCTCGCCAAGTTGCCCAGCCTGGTTTCAAACCCGTGGGCTCAGACAATCCATTCACCTCAGCCTCCCAAAGTGCTGGGATTACAGGTTGAGCCACTAAACCCAGCCTAGGTATATTATTAATATCAGATAAAATCAACTTCAAAGTAAAGAAATCCACTAGTGACAAGAGGGGCATTACACAATAATAAAACAGTGACATAGCAATCCTGATGTTTATGCACTAAATAGCAGAAGTTCAAACTATGTGAAGCAAAAGCTGATGGATCTGAAAGGAGCAATGGATATATCCACAATTATAGTTTAAGATCTTAACACCCCAATCTCAATTGATAGAACTATTAGGCAGAAATATAGGAAAGATGCAGAAGAATTGAATGACACACTACCAACCAACAGGATCTAGCTGACATTTGTAGAACATTCCACTCAACAACAGCAGAATATGTATTCTATTTGCACATTCATGGAACATTCACTGAGACCGTATCCTTGGTCAAAGAGCAAACTTGCACCAATTAAAAGGAAACAGAATCATGCACAGAATATTATCTGACCATAAAATTAAACCAGGAATCAAAACCAAAAGACAGAAAAAAAATCCAAACCCTTAGAAATTAAACAGCATACTTCCAAATAATCCGTGTGTCAAGAGGAAGTCTCAAAGGCAATGAAGCAATGCCCAGAACGAAGTGAAAATAAAATTCTAACATATCAGAATTTGTGAAATGTACCTAAAGCAACACTGAGAAGGAAATCTTCACACTTAAATGCTTATGTTAGAAAAAAATAGAAAAGGTTTCACATTTGTAATCTAAGGCCCTATAGTGAAAAAAAATAAACCCAGAGCAAGCAGAAGGAAGGAAATGACAACAGAAATAACTAATATTGAAAACAGAAAAACAATAGGGAAAAATCATTTGAGCATAAAAAGTGGATTCTTTGAAATAAAATTGGTAAACCTGTCCTAAGACTGACAGAGAAAGAAGGCAAATTAGGAATGTAATAGGACATACCACTATAGATCCTATTTCCACTAAAAGGATAATAGACAGTATTATGAACCACTTTACACTTAAAGTTAGCCAGGCTTGGTGGCTCAGCCTGTAATCCCGTGCCTTTGGGAGGCTGAGGTGAGTAGATTGCCTGAGCCCATGGATTCGAGACCCGCCTGGGCAACTTGGCGAGACCTCATCTCTACAATAAATAAAAAATGAGCCAGGCGTGGTAGCACACGCCTGTAGTTCCAGTTATTCGGAAGACTGAGGCGGAAGGATCGCCAGAGCCCAGCAGGTGGAGGCTGCGGTGACCGGGAGTGGCCACTGCACTCCACTCTGGGTGATAGAGTGAGACTCCAACTCAAAAAACAAACAACAAAAGTACACTTAAAGTTGACAGCTTTGAGTATATAAACCAATTTTTAGAAAGACACAAACTACAATTCACCCAAGATAAAATACTTAATATGAATAGTTTTATAACTTTCTTTTAGAAACTGAATTTGTTAAAAGTCCTTCAAAAAGAAATATCTAAGTCAGATGATTTTATTGGATAATTCTGCCAAACATTTTAAGAAGAGATTGTACCAATTTTATACAATCTCTTCAAAGAGGTAGCACTTATGAAGCCAGTATTACCCTGATACCAAACCAAGTACAGTATAAGAAAAAAAGAAAACTGCAGACCAATATTGCTCATGAATTGGATACAAGAATACTCAATGAAATATTAACAAGTCAAATCCAGTAGTGTTCTGTATTAAAAAGGATTATACTCCATGACCAAGTGGGATTTAGTCTAGGTATGCAAGACTGATTCTGTTTTTGAAAATTAGGTCAGATGCAATGCCTTATTCCTGTACCCTAGCACTTTGGGAGGGCAGGGTGAGAGGATTTCTTGAGCTCAAAAGTTTGAGGCCAGCCTAGACAACATAGTGAGGCTTCATGTCTAAAAAACTTAAAAACTTAGCCAGGTGCAGTGGCACAAACCTGTAGTCCTAACTACCCAGGAGGCTGAGGTGGAAGGATTGCCTGAGCCCAGGAGGTCAAGGCTGCAGTGAGCTGTGACTGTGCCACTGCACTACCATCTAGGCAACAGAGTGAGACTGTAAGTCAAAAAGAAAATTAATGTAATCTACCATATCAGCAGACTATAGAGGAAAATTCATATGATCACATAGATTAACACAGAAAAGTATTTGACAAATTTCAACACCCATCTATAATGAAAGGAGCTCTTAGAAAACTAGAAGTTGAAGGGAATTACCTTAACTTCATAAAGTTTATCTACAAGAAACTTACTGCTAATGTAATACTTAATGGTGAAAGACTGAATGGTTTCCACTGAAGAAATGGATAACTACTTAAGTCACAAACTACGAAACTCAACCAACATGAACTAGGTAATTGAATATTCCTATAACCACTAAAAATACTGAATTTGTAATTGGAAAGTTCATGAAAAAAAAATACTTAGGCCCAAATAGCTCCACTGGGGGATTCTACCAAACCTTTAAAAAAAACACTAATTTTTGCATACTTCTAAAATATAGAAGAGGGAAGACATCTCAATTCATTTTATGGGGCCAGTAATATCTTTATAACAAAACTAGATTACTCCAAAGAGATTGAAATAAGAATGCCTGTAAATAGGTATGAAGTATATATATATATAAGTAAACAAAATATATATGTATAAAAATATGTATAAATAACTACAGGATCTGTGGGAAGTTATAAAATTCTGATGAAATAAAAGAAGACCTAAAAAATGGAGACACATACTATGTTCATGGACTTGAAGCAAGACTTTTTAATAAATATGGATGGAATGAATCTAAAATTCAGAAGTGGACCATGCTCTGAGAATTGCCGTCCTAAAGGGCAGTGTGAACCTTGTTTTAGAAACGGGTATGCTTTTATTTCATTTCTTTTTAAATCTTTCATTTGCCCATTCCAGTGAAATTCTTACGTGTTTCATATTAGGCTAGAAAGGAATACTTTAGTAAGGTTATTTGTATAAAAAGAGACAAAACTGTTTAAATTGTAGGGCTGCTTAGAAAATAATTCAAAAAGATACATGTTGACCTTTAAAAAATTGAGCAAGATCAGTTTTGATTTGGAGATCAATATCCAAAAGACTCTTTCTAGAGACTTGTTCTTTGAGGATTCCCTCTTATATTCCCATTTCGATTGTGTACTTCATAAATGTTTAAAGAATTAAAGAAATAAGTATGCATTTGGGACTGGTCACCTATTGAGTCTGTAGATCAGACCCTGGAAATACTTTGTAAGGAGACGAGCACAATTGTGGACACAAATTTCAGCAATGTATGTTGGCTACTTGTTGTAAAACTTTCTTGTTTTTGTTATGATACTAGGGAAAATTGATACATATTTTCAAATTTATTTTTAGAATGGAAGAGCAACCTGTTTGCTCTTACTTGGAAAAGAGTCTTTCTAAAAATGTGGAATTGATGGAAAAGAAACTTATGGACTACATTGATCGGCGAATATATAAACTCCAGGAGCACATAGATGATAAGATTGCTTTGTTAATGGACTTGCTGCAAGATCCCAACTCCCCACCCGCTGGGATGCCACTAAGACATTATGACTCTGGAGAAAGACTTTCAAATGGAGAAAGATAAGTTCTCAACATATACACTGTACTGCAGATATTTAATACATATTTATTACAAAGCCAAAACCCAAAAATGTTTATAAAAAGCAAGGATTTAAAATCCTTAGAAGGATCATCGTCTTGCTTACATAAAGTGACCTTATTAATTGAAGTATTGTTTTAATTTATACAAAGACCTCTTTTCAGGGGTATGAAAAGAATGCTTAGAGTTTACTGACTTTTTTTTCCTAACTGACTATTCTTAGAAAGTTGGATACTTAACCTGGAATCTTTACTTTCAGATTATCAAATCGCATTTTATATTGTGTATTTCAGACTTTAAAAAATGAGATGTGATGTTTGGCATGTGTAAAATTAGTTTACATTGGGACCATTAATGTTATGTTCTGTCACATAACAGCAGTAGACATGAAAGGCCATAACTGGCCTTTTCCTTGTTAAGATTTTTGCTTTGGATTTAGTATTTGGTTTAAAATGGGAGAAGTCATTTTGTTTGACCTCAATAAACCCAGAAAGTATAAGGAAGTCTCTCCTTGTTTGAGATGATACAGATTCTTCTTTCCAAGCCCTTTCCTGGTACATTTAAAGTGTGAAATGCTGAGGCACTCCACTGAAAATTTAAGGCATATGAACCAAGGAGATTGCATATTCTCTGACTTAATTTTCATAAATTATAACTATTGTATATGTGTTGAAGGGTGATATATTTGTACCTAAAAAATAAAGGCATCCACCTTGAAAACTACTTGTCTGAAATAAATAGAAATATTTGCTCTTCATTTAATATTTACGGTGTTTATTTTTATGAAAAAGGATGTTTTACACTCTTTTAATATTTTGATGAATTAAGTTCTTTAACAGAATTAACTTACATGTTTGCTCATTTATGAATCTCATTCTGACCTCAGTGACACGGGAGCCTGTATATAACCTTTAATAGACTCATCCTAATATATTCATATCATATGTAGCCATGAGGTAGCATTTCCTTCAGCACTCGATAGAAATGTGTCTCAGTTAAGGCTGATTCTTTCAGCTTCTGATAGTTGTGGTCTGTTCTTTGATTCACAAAATATTTCACCATAGCTATAACTAGAATATGAAAACTATATTTTATGAAATCATTAAAATATTCATGATTATAGTACTAAAAATAATTCAAATGAATTTTAATTCCTGATCTTTAATTTCTTAATTTGTTTAGATTAATGAAGATCTAAATTATATTTTATACATGTTAGAAATTCAAAGATGCATTTTATTTCTACACATATTTATAATATATATCTATAATTTTAATTAAATATGTGTAATTTCTTTGTTAAAATTAGTATTAGTTCTAAGAAAACACTGCCTAGATTTGCTCAAGAAGGAGAGGTGGACCTCAGTACTTAAAAAATCTTTATTCAGTGTTTTTTTTTTTCTTGTAACTTTTCTCAATATGTATGTGCCACACCTAAGAAACCAAGTCTGGACGCTGTGACTTTAGGGCTGACAAATGCACCTTCAAAGGTGTCAGGGTAACCACTACAGTTTGAGGTAGCTGAAAGGAATGTGGGGGTAATCAAGAAATTAAATCAAGGTACAGGTTATGATTTTAATTTCAACATTGTCTTCCCGTGAGTGTTATTCCATCTCCTTCTTTCCCATGAGTGATATTTTAGGTTTTCATCCTTCCTTCCAGTCTGTTTGATGCAAGTCAGAAACTGAGTTTGCATGCTGCTGCCACATAACTCATCTTGAAGTGCGGCTGTAGGTACTATGATTGGAGACTCTTCCTCACTTAGCGCTCACCCAGCTTTCTGGTCTTATCAGCCACTATCACGTGGCCTGCTGTTCCACCCACCCTTTCTTCCCATGATCCCCCGTCTGCTGGCTTCAATGAGGTGAGTCCTCCTGTCCTGAATCCCACCTCTCCCTACCCTCATCATGCTTCAAAGCTGTTCAAAAGCTCCTTTCAGATGCAGCCTTCATGAAAACACCCTTGGTCCCTTCCTCCGCACTAAGTACGAAAGCAAGCAGTTGGACAGACAAGGCATGGGGAAACAATACCAAAAGCTCTTTTTGGAGGTGTAAAATGGTCTAGATTGGCTGAAGCAAAAGATGAATGTCAGACAGTAGCTAGAGGCAAGGCTTCAAAGGGTGGCTTGGAACTGGCTCAGGAAAACCTTGACATCTCCACTCGAGATTTGCTGACACTGAGAAGTCAGTGGTTTAAGCAGGAGAATGACATGGTCAGCTCCGAGCCTTGGAAAGAAAACCAGAGGGCAGTTTTCCTCATGAAAAGTGTTTGCCATTCTGCTTTAAATCACAATGGTAGGAAGATGCTATGATTGCAGAACCCTGTAAAGATATCCTCTGACTGCTTGATGGTCTTAATTTCAGAGGTAAGGCCAGAGACTCCCAGCATGTGCTCCCCAGACACTCTTTGCCAGAATCACCTGGAGGACTAGTTCAACAAGAAGGTTCTATAGCTGCAACCCAGAGCTGAGAAATCAGATCAGTGAAGGGTCTGGTCCCTGAACAGGTATTGCAGAAGATCTCAGGACTATTATGAAACAGACTGAACATTGAGTGTCCGCTTTGGGCTCTAACATAGTACCTCCAATATGTCGCCATCTGCTCAGCCTCTTGTCTCTGCCTCCCCTGGAAACTGCTTGCATAGGCAAGTTCATGGGCTCCTCCCAGAACCAATGAATCAAAATCTCTGTGGTGGGGCCCAGCGTCCGTGATTTAACAAGCTTTTCAGATGATTCTTATGTACGCGTAAGATAGAGAACTGGATAAATCTCCAATAAATGGATAAATCTCAGAAGATATAGAGTCAGACTCATATTTTAAAACTCAGGGTAGGTGTCTGTGTAACTTGTGTATACAGGAGATGCTCCTGAACGTTTCTGTTTAAATGAAAACTAGGAAGATAAAAGCAAACTCTTTGACTTTCAAGAGTTAGAACTTTTCAAACATTATGAAACCAAATGATTCGAATTGAGCACAGGCATTTTTACTGCAGACTTTCCCTAGCATACACCAGTTAGTCCATCAAAACTTGTCTTCACTTTCATACCTTCCATCGAAATCCAGTCTATAGGCAGAACACTCCTGTGACAAACATTGGCTTTGCAATTGACAAAAGGGTGACACATCTGTCCTCACTGAGACCTCTGAGAACTAACAACCACCGCCAACACCATTGTCGACCACACAGCATTCATTGCCCTTCACTTGAGAAAAGAAGCAACCGGCTCAGGGAGTGAACTGCGCCCTTAAGGTCTTGTATCAATAGGTGGTGAAGATGGGCCCAGAGTCCAGGAGTCCTCTCCTTCTTCCCATTTCCATCTCTCCTGATCCCTATGCCCATGTGGATTTTGGTGTCAAACTGATCCTCTTTCACACTGGAAATCCACTGAAAGGTGAAGCAACTCTTCCTTGGCCGCCTCTCAAGGTAAAGCGAATGTTAGCATCTCCCCAGCTGTCCCTTCCTTTTCCCATGTTCCCACTTCTTCATTCTGAAGGACGGTCCCAGGCCCTGCATTGGACAGGGCAGCCCAGGATTTTAGTTTTCTGCCCATTTTGACATTATCTCACCAAATGCCCTCAGAGGACATGTGCCCAAGACGGCCTAAAGGAAAAAACACAAGGGAGAGAAATCAAGTTCTTCCACCTTAGTCGCTTGGCTGCTGTATAACTTTGGACAAGTGAGTTAACATTTCTTGACCTCAGCTTTCTCTTCTGTAAAATATCGCAGCCTACTTCTTGCCTGAGGTTTATAGTATTCTGAGCATGCAGCACCTACCACAGGCCTAGCAAGCGAGAAATGTCCAATAGATGTTAAATGTTAATGTTCCCCTTTCCCCTCTCTTTCTGTGCTTCTTTATTTCCAAATCAAGAATAATGTATATGTTTAATAGCTCTACAATGATTAGAAATGTGAAAGTCCCCTTATTTTTTGTTTCCTTGAGGACCAAAGGGAAGTCAATCCCAACCTCAGTGGTAACTCTCCAGGGCCATGGTTCCCAAAGTGTGGTACCTGCCATGGCAGCAACAGCATCACCTAGCCTGGTATATAGAAGGTATCTGATAAATGTTAAATTTTCTCTCCCTCTTCATACTTTTCTGATCTCTCTCTGTCTTCTTAAATAGCAAGACTAACACATAAGGGGAAGCTCCCCCCAAAAACTGAATTATATTTTTGAGGGTGGGCTCCTTGTAGTGCAGGCTTCTCCTGCTGCATAAGTGTTCAAGGAACCCATTGGCATCAGTGCACCAGCTAGCATTGTGAGAAGGGGCATTAGGCTTCAGTGAATTTTTGGGGGGCGGGGGCAGCTTCTTGCAACATGTTTGCTCATTTCATAACAGGTGATTTATGAGCACACCTGTCCACATCACACTGCGTGTTCATTTGGGTCATGATAGGGCACAATTCCCATGCCCTATCCTCCTTGTTCTCCTGATCTTACCCCAAGTGACTTTTTTTGTTTCCTCGGATGAAAAAGGTCCTCAAAGGGACACGTTTTGCCATGTGGAAGAGGTGAAACAAACGGCAAAAGCTCTGAAATGCATCAAAATTGATGAGTTCAAAAACTGTTTTGAGCAGAGGAAAAAGCATCTCTGTAGGTGTTTTGCATCAAACAGTACTTTGAAGGTGACTGAAGTTTAAACATGGAAGAATAAATACACAATTTTTAATAAATAAATGTGGGTTATTTTCGGTGCCCCCCCCATATATGTTTTTTAGTATCATTCCTGTTCCAATAAGTTTGAAAGTTCCTCTTTTCTTCAATATACTACCTTAAGTGCTCAAGGGATGCCACACTCAACATCAGTAATATAGAGCAATCATTCTCAAATCTAGTTCGGAAACCAGCAGCATCAGCATTAACTGGGAACTTACATCAAATACAGATTCTCCTGTTCTCCCTCAGATCTGCTGAATCAGAAACTCTAGAGCCATCTCAGCAAACTCTCCAGATGATTTGTTTACATGCTTGGTTTGAGAAGCACCGGTCTATGTTTAAAAGCACAAACTCCACAGCTAGATTTCATGGGTTTCTTCCTAAAAATCCCAATCAACATCTTCCAAGGGCATTCCAAAACAGGCAGAAAAAACACCTAGACTTTAAACTAAGAACTCTAAGCCCTGC